TTGCCTACCATTTTTCTTTTGGAATTAAATATATGATTTAATATTTATGGTTGAAATGATCGGTTTGATTTACTAGATTTTTCCCATTGTAAGCATAAAGTTATTGATCCTCATGTATAATTTTAATTTTAGTGTTTCAACTCTCATTATTTTTCTAGTATTTTCCATCTCTGTCATATCTAAATTATTAGTTTTTTGGGAAATATCTGATGTGACATTTCAAGAAAATCAAGATACTAAAATTAAATTTCCAAAAGTTAAAAGGACCAACAAATTAGGGAAAAAAACTGATAACTTTTTTTGTTGGAAGAGAGTAGGAAATTTTGAATCATGAATTAAAATTTAAAACACAAAAATGAGGTAAATTAGTGTGTTTTAAGACAAGGAAATTAATGTTGATGTTAATACTTTAAAATATCCACGTGTCAGTTGACGTCAACAATTTGACCACTTTTTTGTGTCCAATGTAATAGAAAAGGAAAGGCATTATTATTATCATTATTTCAAAATGGAAAAACATTAATAGTTGTGGAATATGATGAAGATGGTAAGTAAAAAGTTGTTAGACTAATGGGAGAAAATGATAGTGATTTTTTCTCTCTTTCCAACCATACTTATCTCTAATAATTGTATCTATTCTTTTTTATACATAGTATCTTGAACACCTCAATCAGTTAAAGCATATTAAATTGTTGTGAATTCAACTTTCATCCTTACATATTATACTAAAAAAAATCACAAATAGAAGAATAGGATGCGGTGGGATGAGGAAAATTTTGACATACTTCTTAGTCAGGAAAATATAAAATAGTATTGGACTCAATGTAGCCAAATGAATCGAGATAGTGGATTGTGAATCCACCACAAGTAAATTTTGAAAAAGAAGTTATTTTTAAATGTAAAAATATTATACAAGCACTTTTGAAATAATTACTAATTTATAACATGTTTGGTATACTTTACTAAGTGATTTTATATAACTAAAAGTGTTTTTTAATTCGGTAATAAATAAAACAATATTTAAAAAAAGATTGGATGATTTTAAAAATCAATTTATGAAGACAGATAGAGGATTACATATATAGAAAGTTCAAGTTTTTTTGAGTACAACATAATGGGGTGGAGATCAAAGTCAAAACTTCTTGATTAGAGACCGTTGAGTTATGCTCGTTTTTACAAGAAAATTACAAGTTAAAATTAAAAGATATGTCAAACTTATTAGAGAACAATGTACCTTGATACTGTCTACTTTGAGTAATTGGTTTCTTCGAAAAGGTCGTGTATCAATAGAGATGTTGTCTCTCACTTATATATACCTATAATATTCCTTTTCTATTTAGCCAACGTGAGACTTTGGTGGTATATTCAACAAAACCAACCATAACAATCTCTATCTTCCTTAAACAGAACAGGCCATATCGTAAAAGAAAAAATGGTCACACAAAGGAGAGGATACAAATTTGGAAGGGTGAGAACGAGGAGAAGGAGAGAGAAAACATTTGGAAAAGTAAAAATAGAAGAAAATATCTTTAAAAAAGAAAAAAGAAAAAACCCATAGCATAGCCCATACCCATATACACATACCAGTTCCCTGTTTAAGACAGTGTCCAACCACTGGTTTTTGTTCCTACTTTTTGCCAAATATCATCCATTCGAACGCACACTCTCCCTTTGTTTCATTTTCAAACCCCATTCCAAATGCTCCCTTCCCAACAAAATTACACCACAAAACCCTGAATTCTGTTTGTTTTTGGGGATCATTCATTTCCCCCCAGCAGAAGCACAATTTCCACTGGAATTCACCTGCCTTTATGGAGAAGAAGCCATGGATTCCGAAGGCACAAAAGGGCGTAACAAATCTGCTCTGGATCGGAGCCTAGAACAAGCAAAAACAATAACAAGAACCAGAATGGGACTCAACAGCATCGGAGGGGACATCTTACCGGTTCAGGGCGGCGGCGTCATTGTCCGATCCACCGCCCGGAAAGACT